AAACCATCCCAATTTAATTATCCTACTTGAGATAAACAATCAAACATGTTATTGTTTAACTGTTATCATATTCTGCTTTACTGCAATACAGAGAAGATGCAAAATCAATATCACATTTTCTAACATAGTCCGCTTCCCACTGCTATTACCATTGTTATCAAACATGTAGGTTAATAATTGATGGGGTCATTTTATAAATTTTAAAAGTATAGGGTAAATTTATAAAATTAAAAACTAGCAAATTCTCATTTTCAATTGAAAAACTGGTACATTTTCAAGTGAAATTGGAAAATTTGAGAAGATTTTGATAACCAAACATCGTTTTAAAAAAAAAATTAGAAAACAGGAAAAATTTTGTATGCCCAAGTGGGCTCTTACTCCTACTATATTTCTTTATTATTATTACTTAGGTTCTCAGTTCCTGTCACGACCCAAAATCCACCAAGAGTCGTGATGGCGCCGGACACCACTGTCAGGTAAGCCAACCAAAATACTTAATTAAATTCTCGTTTTAATACTCTTGAAATCTATGGTTTTCCTTCAAATTTACTAATTAAAAAGATAATCGTCTCAAATCAAATTAAATGATAAGCAGTTAATACAAAATACTTTATAACCATCCCAGAACCCGGTGTCACAAGTACATGAGCAATTTCTAAGAAACCGAATAAAGTACAACAGCTGCCCGGAACACAAATTGGACAGAAAGTAAATAAAATTCTGAAAGAGACTATACTAGCTGCGGGTCGCCTCGAGGAAATACAGCTCACCTAGTCTCCGTGTCACCCATAGTGCAACGCCCAGTAGGCCACTAGAAGTACCTGCACCTGTGCAACAAAATGCACAGCATGTGTAGCATGAGTACGAAAACAACGTGTACTCAGTAAGTATCCCGCCTAATATCGAAGAAGTAGAGACAAGATGGCAACTTCAAAACTTACTAATGGTCCAAAAATAATATTATTAATTCGATAAATCACAGATTTATTAAGAACGACAGTAAATTCGAATGAGTCACAAACAGGTAAAGGTTCCTTTTTATTGAAAGTCTCCGGATTTATAATCCACTAATTAACCATTTTCTCAAGTCGGGGAGAGTAGATATTAGTATCAATAAATATCAAGGCAAGCAATACAAGCATGCGCAACTCATGCCGAGGTCGTACGGCCCGATCCAACATAAATGTAAAATGTGCACTGCCGAGGGTCGAACAGCGCGCACCATAGATGCATCTATTACCCCGCTCGCGAATCCTACATGCAACGCGGTCAAATTTAAGTAAACAAGAACCCTGCTCGCGAATCATACATGCAACGCAAGTACACATAGAAATACATGCTCAAACAGCAAATTAAGAATTTATCGGGGAACATTTATCCAAATAAAAGCCAATTCTCTTTCAACGATTTAATAAAAATAAAGTTTAATTCTCTTAGAAATTCATTTACCAATTCGATAGGATTTAAGAAATTTAATAGTCAATCAGATTTCAGATATTCCACGTATAGCATGCTTCTGGGTCCTAGACTACCCGGACTTACACATATTAGCAGCTACGCACGGACTCTCGTCACCTCGTGCGTACGTAGCCCCCACAAATAGGAGCACATAATCAATTATTTCACCTATGGGGACAATTCCCTCTTACAAGGTTAGAATGGAGACTCACCTAGCTCCGAATTTCCATAACCGTTATTCCATGCCCTTCCGAAAACTCAAATCGATGCACATTGCTCCAAAACTAGCCAATAATTATGTAAACTCATTAATATATGATCAATTAATCATTACAATCCAATTTATACAAATTTCTAACCCCGATCGAAAAGTTGACAAAATTACCCTCGGGCCCACATGCCCGGATTTCAAAATTTTACGAAGATAAAGTCTACCCATAACCTCACGAACTCAAATATATAATTTACTCCCAATTTCGTGCCCAAATCGTGGTCAAAATCCAAGAATACCAAATTTCTAGGTTTTTCTTCAAAACCCCAATTTTCACTAATTCCTCATAATTTTCCATGTTAAAATCTAGATATAATCCAAGTAATTAACTTGCAATATGTGGGAATCAATTACCATGACATGGATGATGAAAATGGAGCTCCAATATCGCTCCTAGGTCGGCTCCCATGGAGGAAATGAGATGAAATGAGCCAAGCCCATTTCTTTACACTAATACACTGCCCAGACGACTCTTCTTCACGTTCGCGAGACCCCCGTCGCGTTCGCGAAGAAGAAAATTCCCAAAAAACCATTTTTCAAACTCTTCTCAGACAGCCTCTAGTATAGTGGTCATAACTTTTTGTACAAAATTCCAAATGACAAATGGTTTAATGTTTTGAAAAGTAGATACCAAGATCTACAACTTTCGTGTTTCGGTCATCTCCCAATACCTTATAGATTTTGAGATATAAGCTGACAAAAAGACAGCCCTGTGGAACACAAATTTCTTCTTCATCTTCCGGACAGCCTGTAGTATACCAGCTATAACATTTTGTACACAAATCCAAATGCTAAATAATTTACCTTTATGAAAACTAGACACGAAGTTCTACAACTTTCATTTTTAGATCATCTCCAAATGCTTTATAGATTGCGAGATATGAGCCTCCGAAATCAGACATGTGCAACAGAGATTTCGTTCTTCGCGAACGCGATGATCCCTTCGCGAACGCGACGAAGAAAGTCCCTGAAGCCAAATCCTTCTTCACTAACGCGAGGGGATCCATACGAACGCGAAGAACAACACCAGATACCAGCATCAGCTATTGCAAAACAGCCCGAAATGATCCGAAACCACCCCGAAACACACCCGAGGCCCCCGGGACCCCATCCAATCACACCAACCAGTCCCATAACATAACACGGACCTGCTTGAGGCCTCAAATCACATCAAACAACGCTAAAATCATGAATCGCACTCCAATTCAAGGTTAATGAACTTTAGAATTTTAAACTTCTACATTTGATGCCGAGACCTATCAAATCACGTCCGATTGACCTCAAATTTTGCACACAAGTCATATTCGACATTACGGACCTTCTCCAACTTCCGGAATCGGAATCCGACCCCGATATCAAAAAGTCCACTTCCGGTCAAACTCCTCAAAAACCTTCAAATTTCTATCTTTAGCCAAATGACTCCAAAATGACCCACGGGCCTCCGAATTCACTTTCGATCGCGCTCCCAACACCAGAATCACCATACGGAGCTATTCCTAGATTCGGAATCCCAAACGGACATCGATAACACTGAAATGCACTTCAACCCAAACTTATGAAATTCTTTCAAAAAAGCCAACTTCCACAATAGGCGCCAAAACGCTTCCGGGTCATCCAAAACCCGATCCGGGCAGACGCCCAAGTCCGAAATCATCATACGAACCTACTGGAAACTTCAGATCCCGATTTCGAGGTCATTTACTCTGAAATCCAATCTTAGTCAATTCTCTCAACTTAAAGCTTCCGAAATGAGAATTCCCTCTCCAAGTCAACTCCGAACTTCCTGAAATTCAATTCCGACCACGTGTACAAGTCATAGTACCTGAATTGAAGCTGCTCATGGCCTCAAACTGCTGAACGGCGTGCTAGAGCTCAAAACGACCGGTCGGGTCGTTACAGTTCCATTTTGGTAAATTAAAAAACTTCAAGGTCATTTTAAACACTTTTAGTTTTTGGCAAATACAAACAACCTCTTTAAATTGTTCACAATGATTGACAATTTAACTTCGCTAGTGACCTCATAGACACCCCTCTCGTCCCATATACCACATGAGTGAGATACACTCTGATTTACCTGTCAAATGGCCAATAAAATATTGACACATGTAATTTTGAAACTCAAAGGAAACTACAATTATAATAAAAATCCAAAACTAACCCCCTCCCTCGATGCCACCAACAGATACGATCTTCCCCACACAGTCGCCAACGATTCCTTTGACCAATGGTAAACCTCCGGCAATGTCACCCCCCAACCCTGCCTTTTTTACTTCTTCTTCTTGGAGTAAAAATTCTCCAAACCTCGCCAATCGTTTCTTCCATCAAAGGCACCGGAGTTGCTGCCTTCAACCAGTAGCCCACCTATTTTGGAACCAAATCATTTTTGCTGGAGAACGCACACAACATTGGTGACTAATATTTTTGCTGCAACTTCAAAATTTGAGATGCCAATTTTTCTAAGTGCCGTCCTGATGCCTTCATTGTCAATCCTTCCACTATAGAAATTATGGAAAAATTTAGTGAACACATATTTTTTTGTTGTTAACTTCTTCCACCGTGATTCCTGAAGTACCTTCCCTACACTTTAACTCTTGATGTTTTATATTTGCATTCTCCTTTTCATGTTCTCCATTACCAAGATACATTAAAGTTGCACCGGCTATTTCAACAAATAACAACCTTCTTCCAAATGTTAATTCTTATTTTCGTCAAAGATGAATAATTTGGAAAAGAAAAAGTGTGAAGATAAAGGTAAATAGGTAAGTTAGTTCAATTTCTAAAAAAAGAAAGAAAAAAATTAATTTTGAGGATTTTACACATTCAAATATGAATAAAAAAATACACTTTGCCATGTCATGGTAATGAGTTTACTTTACATACTTAAAAGTCACTTAACGTGTCAAAATAATAAATGGGTCAGTTGAATTGTCTATCCGCTTGTTGAGGACAACTTAAAAGGGTCATGTATGTATTTTTGCCTTTTTAAGTCGTAACACAACGAACAATGCAAATTGTAGCTTTTACTCCAACTATCTACAGGATAATAGTGCAATGCACACTACGTGGTCAGCCAGTTTATTCTTGATGTGAATTTTAAATTCATATATAAGTCTCTTAACATTTAAAATTCACATTTTATTACATTACTAATTACTAATATATAGAAGCCGCTTGGAAGCAGGTCAGGGTCGTCATGCCTGCTTCCAAGGGCTATTTTGGTCTTTTTAAAAATTTCCTTGAAAGCTAACACGTGTGGAGCAAGTGGTGCGATATAAGAACTCGCCGCTACATACATGCCAGCGATTAATCTGCTTTCAGTCTCTCTCTGTTCATCCTCGTTCTCCGCGCTTCATCTTCAGATTTCCTTTTCGACATCACCAGTCAATCGAAGCTCTTTTCACTTATTTGGTATAATTATTTGGGTTCTTCTATGGTTTAGTTTTATTTTCCTTACTGCCTCTGAATATCTCTTTTACGATATCTACAATTTGTGATTACACTTATTTGATAATTGTTTTGGTTCTTCGTTGGTTTGATTTTGTTTCCCTTATTGTCCTATGAATACCCCTTTTATGATTTCTGCAATTTATGGTTTCTAAGTCTATTCAGTTTGTTTTTCCGGTATCAATTTGTTTAACAGTCAAGGATGAACGAAAGGCTCAAGGAATGAGTTCTCCTTAAATTATGTCAGTCTGGAGTTATCATTAGCATCTAAAATAATTATTCTTTCCTCTATTGCTCTATAGGTATTTAAGTTGTCTTCTATAGATCGCGGAACTTCAGGCAGATACTAGAAAACTACTGATTTTATTAATTGATAATTACCCATTAACAATAAGTTAAATTTAAGCACAGCTGTGAAATCACCTAATATGATTTTCCTAAAAATGGACCATTCAAACCAAATTTGAAGTATAGTATCAGGTCAGCACTGCATTTTTATTTCAGTATTCTATCAGTTTATTTGACATTATTTTAGCTATTTACTGCTTTGGTAGCGATTTTGCTGCTATTTCTGAAACCATCCATTATTTAATATCAGTTGAAATTTTAGTGGTATTTTGGGCCACCCATCAGGGGCTAAATCAGCAAGGTTAAACCTACTGGTATATAAAAATTAAGTCTTTCTTATGTATGAAGAGGAAAAAATATTGATATGCTTCTTCTGAGATTTCTCTTGCAATCGAAGTTTTGCTTAGTTTATGAAAAGAGCAGTGAGAAAGTTGAGATTTTTGTTGCATTTTCATTCTCAAGATTAGCCACAGTATTAGCTGTTGCACCTGAAAAAATAAGTACATATCTGCTAAAATCAAAGGGATAACAAATGAAAAAGAATAATAATTAGCGAATGATATGCTGAATTTAGTGTATGTCGGTAAAATACTTGTGACATATCCCGTTAGTTCTTGAACATAGACATGAGTCACATGACATTTGCATTCTGCTATACTATTTTTCATTTTTTGTGTTATTGCTTGACCTAATTGTAGCTTGTATGACTGAACCCAGATGAAAAACTTTCTTTTCCCTTTAACTGGATGGATTTAAATTGTTTTAGAACTTAGAAGAAATGTATATGTTTTATTTTTCCCTATGGTTTCAATTAATCTGCTTCCATCTCCCTATGTTCATCATCTTTCTTCTTCGCTTTATCTTTTTGTTTGTGCCCAATGTGATACTTTTGTGTAATATTCAGCTGAACATAGACTATCCATCTTAGCAAAAAAACAGAGGTAATTGCTCTTACAAGTCACATTCTGTAACTAAGACCATAAGCAAAGACTTCCGGTTCAACTAAACGTAAAGGTAATTGACCAACACCTCTATAACACGATCCACCACCCAATTACATTAGCGTGACTTACATTCTTGATGGCACAAAGAGCAGCACCATCGCCACCAACATCAGCTTGAATTAACCAAATCATAATTAAAAGCCTGAAGCTCTAATAGGCCAAAAAAAATTTGGATGTACTATAACTGCTTCTAAAGGAAGTAGAAAGCTGCACAAAGTACTCATTCAAGCGAGTGATTCATTTTATCTGTCAAAGATAACAGAAATACAATAAGAAAACTCGGTGAACTTCACTATTTACTTCTTCATCAAATAGAGGAATATTTTAATTCAACACTTACTTGTCGCAAGAACTTTTCTGGTGTTTGGAATATTTTAATTTAACACTTATTTATCACAAGAACTTCCTGGGGTTTGTCGTGATACAACGGTTGTTATTTTATATGTATGCGACTTTTGTTATTAATGTTGCAACTATCATTTAGTTTTCTTTCGTTTTTGTTTCAATATTTTTAATGTGCCGGAAATAAGTTAAAGATATTTGCTTTGCTACCTGGTTTCTTACATGTCACTTTGTGTGAACTATGGAACTTTATGAAAATAAAGTCTTGGTGTAATTGTTAATAGTTAAATGAGTTTGTGTTTTGTTCAATCTATCTGTTATCTTTTTTATTGATTTATTTATGGTTTAGAGTGTCCTCCTCTCCCTCTTCCTCTCCCCACAACACACACCAAAAAAATAAAAGGCAAAGAAAGAATCAGGTTCCACTGTAACAAGTACAAGGAATTTTTGTTCAAGTGCTTGTACTGAAGAGTAGCTTGAACCTTTGCATATTTTTCAACTGAAGGTCTTAGTTGGTTTTAGTTTGTCCAGTCCCTATGGTGAATGATTGAAAATGAGTTCGTTCATTGTTTTTTGGTTGATAGTTTTCACTTTTCACTATTTAGAAATACTTTATAAGTTACTAATAAGAATTTTTTTTTAGAAGTTATAGAGAAAGATGTTGAAGCTTCACCCTTAAAAAACAAAACAGGATATTCAATTTGGGATGTGGAAGCAAGAGATGAGCAAGTTACATTCCAAAAGAGCTTACTTGCACCATGTCTGTTGAACGTACCTGAATCCTTTATATTAGAACAATTTTCAGTCAACTTCTGACATTTGCTATGACTTATATATCCTAACTACAAGTATTCAGCAGATTATAGCATGGAGGGATCTGAGCAATATAGTTTTATGGAACATTGTCTTGCATCAGTAGACAAACAGAAGCGGCCTTAGCTGATTTTTTCGGCACATCGGGTTCTTGGTTAATCCTGACTAATGATATGGCATAGGAAGCTTTGCAAGAGTGTTACCTGAGTGCTCTTGTAATTACACATAGTATTTTTTCCAAACGAAAACACGCTCCAACCTAAAGTGATGGGCCCGTGCTTGCACGGGCAATCCCATCTAGTAATATAAACAAGAGTGGGCATAAAACAAATAAGGTGATTTCAAAGACCTCCACCATATTTATCGTTATAACACTTATCAACCTTGTGATTTGTAATGTTATATTAACCTTCCATATTATGATTTTTGCTAACAATATTAGTTTCAATATTTTTAAGTTTTACCCTTTTGTGATTTCATTGTTACTTTCAAGGTTCTGCAGCTCTTTACAAAAAGAAGAAAATAATGTTGCTATATTACACTACTTGGCTAGAGTTACAGATCTCGATTATATTTATGTAAGAGCTTTGGAAGCAAAAAAATCAAGAATGAGAAAATAAAATCTATAATTTACAAGCCATGTGCAGTAAACATCCAACATAAATGTAAAACTATCTTACTATGAAATAATAACGAATAATTAAAAGTATCTATCTATATCTATATCTATATTATTATAAAAGCATGAATAACATGTTGGATTACAAAAATAACCTTTTTAATATTAAGTATAATAACTTATAATAAAAGGACATAATCGGAATTATAGACATTAGCCTTGTAATCCTATTACTTTTAGGATATACTTCTTAAAAATTCCTATTACTATTTAATTTTTTTTAAAAAAAAACGTATTATATTGTGCAAATCTATTTAAAAACAGGAGAGCTCATATATGATTATAAAAGAACGAATATAATATTGATAAATCAAAATAGCTCTAAAATATTAAACAGAAGAACTCATAAGGAAATGGCATAGCTGTAATAACTTATTTATTGGACTACATAACTTCTCTGTTAATTTTTTTAATATATAAGATTTTAAAATTAATACAATCTTGTCTATTGAACTCTTATTAAAAATATGTAGGAAGGTTTAATAAAATCAATTTCATAAGAATCCTCCATACTGGTAGTATATTACCACTCTATAATATTCAATACCAAAAAAAAAATTGATACTAAATGGACTGCATAAAGCGTTGAAATTGAGAAAATAATTCCCACGATAATATATTATTATATTATATTTAAACTGTTTTCCTACTCAAATAATATTTTTTATTATTAATTTTTGTGTAATATAGGAAAATATACCCAATTATAAAGAACATCTAAGAAATTTTTTAAGAATATAAATGTGTGAGAAAAGAAAGAAAAAGGTTGGTAGAGCCAATATCACTAATGACTCTGCAAACATAAATATCTAAAAGTGGAATGTTATCGATCTTTTTATTTTAAAACCAAATAATCAAATCTTTCCATTAATTATTTAGCAAGAGAATCCAATTAAATTATTCTTTAAATTCATCATATGAGTAAAATTATTTTTCAAGTTAAAAAAAAAATCTTAGGGTACATAAATTTAATCCATAAAAAGAGTGTTAGGGATTTAAAAAAATAGATCAAAAAGTAAAAAAGATTAGTATAATATTAAGAAGGCCATACAAGTGTTTGAGAAAGCACAATCAAAGCTAAATCCCGAACAAGAATAAGCTTTCAAGACTATATTATAAAAAATCGACTCTGGTATAGCGGGATTATCCTTTGTACATGCCTCCGGCGGAAAAATATTTCTATGTCATGCATTACTTGCAAATGTCAGATCAAGGGGCATGATATTGTTAGCAATACGAATAGGTGGTGTACCAACAACGATTTTATTATGAGGTCGTACAACTCACTTTAGATTTGATATACTTCTTCAAATAACTGAAATAACCATCATAAATATATCAAATCAGAGCAATAGTGCTAAATTTATAAGGAAAGCAAAAGTGATAATATGGGATGAATCGCTTTTGGCTAAGCGTCAAACGATCGAAACAATCGCCTAGAGTTTTAGAGATATGTTGGATATCGATGAACCGTTTGGTGGAAAAGTAATAGTTTGGGAGGTGATTTCTGTCAAGTACGATTAGTAGTAAATTGACCAACGCAGAAACTGTAAAAGCTAGCTTGCCAAAAGTGTACTTATGACCTCAAATGAAAAATATTCAAATGACAAAAAATATAAAAGTAAGAACAGATCCAATATTCAGTAACTTCTTGCTTCGTGTTGGAAACGAATAAGAGCATCCAGTAAAAGATGATTTGGTTCTTTTAGAACACTTGGTTATTGATCACGCCCAACTCTAGTCCTAGAAAGGATAAGCGGTCGCTGCAAATATAATCCGGTCTAAAAGTCCGGAGTCGAATCCCACAGAGAACTAAGGCTTAGCTATATCTGTTTAATATCACTAAGAAGACAAGTTTGAACAATTTCCTAAATTATAAAGATTGAGATTTATATTTCTAACTAATTAACTAGCAAATACTACAAAGCGGTAAAATTATCAACTAACGAGACAAAAGATTGGAGACTAAATTAAGGAGGTCTAGAGTTATGATTTCCCCAATTGTCGGAATCCTTCTCGCTATGTTCCTTACAATTTTGCNTATATATATATATATATATATATATATATATATATATATATATATATATATATATATATATATATATATATATATATAATAGACTAAGTTAAAATTGATCTTCTATTGCATATACGTTAATATTGAAGAAAAATATGTATGTCATGCTACTGAAAATTTAGATCCGCTGAATAGCTTATGTAATAGTACACATATGGTATATAGAAGTTTTGACAATAACGTCATACATGCAGAGCTTATGATACTGGTCAATATGCTTCTAAGTATGTGTTTATCCCCGAATTTAACTTTTGTCTTCCGAAACTAAAGAATATCCTTTTAAGTTTGTGTGAAGATAATTTTCAGTATGTTTATATTTTGTACTTATAATAAATAAAGCGCAAGGACAAATATCCTAAATATTGAACTTTATTTACCACAATATATTTTCTTACGAATAACTATACGTTGCACTTTCAAGAGAGATATCAGTATCGACAACAAGAGTTCTGGTTATAGCAGAGTAACAAAGCATTAGAAGGAAACATATACAAAAAAAACACTGTCTATATAGAAGTATTCGATAAGATACCATCACATTAGATACCTTTAAACTATAATACATAATTAGCTACGTAATATGACTAAAATTGATCATTTATGTAAGTTATTATGATATCCTTTAATTTTGAATTCACGTATTATGCTAATGTAATAATATTTTTTGGCATTTAGATGATTGTTGTAGTATTATATATAAAATTTCTTCCATTAATTATATTTATTATTCCTCATATAAATAAATATTTAAACGATCATGTATCATTATTAACGTGCAACGCACGTTTATAAATACTAGTATAATAAAAGATAAAAATACTTGAAAGCACAAGAACATAAAATTATTTATATAAAGTAAAAGAATTGTCTAACAACAAGAAAAGTTATCGATAAGCTGCATCTTAAAGTAATAGAGATAAAAAGCAACGTTGAAGTAAAATTAAAGATAAGCATATGCCTTGCTATATATTAACAAATTTACATCTTGAATCTACATAGACTTTCGCTAAAAAAAAAAAAATCAAATGCAAAGTTGCGAAGCTTTCTTTTATTTTTCTTTCTTATCGAATTAATCTCATAAATAATTAATTTTTATATCTTTTAAAGATTTGAAAGATTAGTCAAATAATATAATATAGTATCCTTTTCTCTTTTATTAAATATAGATTTATGTAACAAAACTTAAAAACTAATAAGTAAGGTTAAGGAAGGTAATTACGAAATATTATAGCAAATATAACACTAAACCAGTTTCTTAACAAGAAAATAGAAACAAAATAGGTAATTATAATATTTAAACCATATGAGAGGTAATTAGTATATTACCAAAGCAAACCAAGAGAAATGTTTTTGAAATTATGCCTAGAAATAATCAGAAGAATTAACCCAAATAGTCGTTCACTCAATCACTTAAATTAAAATAAATGATGAATGTATAATATATACTTGTTATGTTTATCACCGTATATAATCTACGTATAATCTATTTATACCAACTAGAATTGTAAATAGTAAATTCGTTGATTATCCATCTAATTTTTAGTATTATTCTTAGGCCCGGGCTCAGCACGGGCTTAACAATGCTAGTTACATTTTACATTTTATTATTATTACAACTATATATAAATGGGAATGGATGGACGAAGACAGCTCCTAAAAGTTGTACTTTGTGCTGGTTATCTTAAATGTTCTATCAAATTTGTCCCAGCTTATGCCGTAACAAACCACGTGTCCCAGCTCACTTTGTGGTGAAGCACGTGTAGTCCCCTCTTTCTATCTTATTCACTCCCATTCTTTGCTGAATTTCCTCCTTTTCCTTGGCGATATTAATTAGCTCTAGAAAATTCCGTTGTACTTTCATTCGTGAATTTTTAATCGGCTAAACTTTGTTCATTGTTACTGGGTGAGTTCTCCTTCATTGTTTGCGTATTGGTTAATTTTTTTCTCTGCTTAGATCGTTCCTGTTATGTCATGATTCAAGATTTCCCTCCGTGAACTGTCGTAACGATACCTAGTCTTTACGACTAGGTAAGCCTAACAAATTGCGAAAAATGAAAAATAAAATACGAAACTAGCAAGTTACGATTAAAACTTAATAAAAGAGTTTAAAATGCCGCTCGGCATATACAATACACACTCTCAAAACTGAATCAAACTCCCAAAACCCGGAATCTCATGAAATCACAAGCTATAGAAAACTACACAGTGTTCTAACTCCAGAATATCTAATCAAAAGTAAATACAGGAAGTCTAAAGCTAGAGGGAAGAATAGAGAGGGACTTCTAGGTCTGCGGACGCGGCAGATATACCTCGAAGTCTCTGATATTGCCTGCCTCACTGATAGAACGGTTGAGCAGAAGAACCTGGATCAGCACACGAAAAACATGTGCAGGAAAGGGCATGAGTACACCACATCGGTACGCAGTAAGTGCCACGCCTAACCTCAGTCGAGTAGTGACGAGGGTCAGGGCCCTACTGGTTATATATATATATATATATATATATATATATATATATATATATATATATATATATATATATATATATATATATATATATAAAACAAGGTAAAACAGTATGAGATGCGACAATATAATTAAAATACCAACAGTCGATAAAGAATAAAATCACAGAAAGAATATAACTCAGTACATAGAGATAGCAACAGGGGATCTTCCAGGATATCATCCCGTAGTCCCAAACGTA